TAAATATAAAATGGGGCATCAAATATCTGTTTATTAGTCTGAAAGCTGTTCTAAAGCTAGCCAAAGAAAAATTCACCATGTCGAGTTGGTAGATTATAATAAGTCAACTAAGTCTTTGGGATGAACTCTTGACTTCTATTGCTGTTTTCTTTCTGATCTATATCTAAAATTAATGTTTACAACAGATTATTATTCTTGCACGAAAAGGGAAAAGGCAGCGAAAAGCTAAGCTTTGAATAGTGAGTAGTTTAAGCGCCTCATATGAATAACTTCTTAGTTCATATTTACAGGACAACACCACAAAAGAAGCTTACGTGGCAACTTTCTTCGCCGCCTTATCAAATGAGTCTCCTTCAAGCTCGGCCCAGATATCATTCTTAATCCAAAATAATTAAAATCACCTTAGACTTTTCATTAATCACTGGGTCAAAAATGGTTTCAGCCCATTTAAGTGGTCTCTGTAACTTGTAATAGCCCACTCGTTTCTTCCCATACCTTGCTCTTTAGGAAATTGATTCGCCATACACGACCATATCGATAGTTATGGTTACATGGCTTCTTGTTCTAATTAAAAACTATATTAGAAGAAAAATATTAGCTATTGGTTTATTTCACATCTCACTTTGGTTTGTTAGGAAGCGGCTAGAGCACTCAAGAAGTGGGAAGAAACACTCGACTACGTCTCGTGTTTCTCCCTACACTTCTTTCGTGCTCTAGCCGCTTCCTGCGTGCTTTATAACAGAACAGAGCACAGCCAAGGCTTCTCTATTTGTTAATTCAAAGATTGAAAACACATCAGGAAGTTCTTATCTGTCCCTTTAAACACATTATGGTATATAGAAAAGAAATATAGTGTCAATCATGATCGTATAAGATCTGGAAACTCTTCATGTCTAGATAACTTTGTTATCACCTGCCCCTTCGCACAAGATGCCATTTAAAGCATGCATGGCCAGAATTATTGTGGTCTTTTTACATCACAGCGTTACTTTTTCTCAGCGATTGACTAAACACAAAGCGTGCGCAAGATTTGAACGGAGCCGAAAAGTTCCCAATGAATTTGGTTGAGGACATTTTTAGCATCTACAACCAGTTGTTCTTGTTCGGTGGACGACTTCGCATAACAGAAACAAAGGAAGATAAAAGCACAGGAACCGACCAAAAAGAAGTGGAAAGATGAAGGAAAGAAAACAGGGCGCTTAAGACATGATATTTTCCTAATCAGGGAACAAATGTGGAAAAAAAGGGAAATTTTAAACGCGCTTGTTAACCCAGTGATTTACTTTTGGAGTAAACAATTGATGAGAAAGTTTGTATCGAGAATGAGGACCAGGTCGTGCATTGACTAAAGGAGGTATACTCCCTAAGTCAATTTGAACTCGGATAAGCCTTATCCGAGTTTAGTTTCAGCCTCGAAGAACGTAATTGAACAACGTTTAATATTGACGGGAATATGACGATGTCAATACAAGTCCTTCAGGATTGTCAATGCTTTATATGTTTGATAAAATCATAGAGAGATTTCAATTCAATTGTGCCTAATTCCTTTGTAGACCGTTAGACGGGGACAAAAAATTTCTACGTATCTGAAACAAACATAAAGAAAAACTCAATTACAATCATTACTGTCCCCGAACTGAGAATCATTCAGTGTAGCTCTCTTTGCTAAAAAGAAATCGCCTTTTTAGTGAGGCTTATTGCTAAAAATATACCCTTCTTGCAAAGATTTTTTCTGTGAATTCAAATAGTCTTTTTAAGAATCAGATTTTGCGCGCAATAAACGAACAAAAAATACATTGTCACATAAACTAATGACAAGGACCTTTTTTTTCAATCTTTCTCCCATAAATTAGTCTCCTTCTTTGATGGATGACAGGATGCACGACCTGGGTTCTTCTTGTACAAGGCGTAGGAACGCGCTTTCTCATTTCGTTTTGCCTCCAGCAGTAGATTAATGGATTTACAAACGATTTTAGCATGCTAAGTTAGTATTATCAACTAAGTTGGCCACCGTAGAGTTCAAAAGCTGACGTTTCGAGCGTTAGCCTCTCGTCAGTGTCATTGGAGGAATTCTGGGTTGTGTGTGGGTAGCATTGCACAGATTTACCAAATTGGTCCGTTTATGAGGCAAAAGCTACAAAGGCCTGTCGCTAAAATGATGAGACACAAACAAACTTGAAGAAGGCAAACAATAACAGCACCAATTACAAACACAGTTGTCATAATCGCCTCGTCTTCCTTGGTAAATCTTTCCACCTCCTCTTGGGGCAGTTTTTGTGCTTTTATCCTCCTTTGATGTCGACACGTTTCATGATGTAAAATCACATATGCAAACGCAACGAAAAGGATTCACAAATATTCCTTCAGAATAAAATATTAGATACATCTCTAAGGCCTCAAACATTCTACACACGAAGGCAATGATCCAAACTGCAATCAGTGCTATCGTTATTTTCCTATGTGACACTGTTTGGGTAGTGCGACGTACATTTGATGGCGATAAATCTCTCAAAAGTAACCCACATTGGATGAAGGCATGAAGCGTCCAAGGTAGAGACATGAAATTGAAATGCAAATTTTCAGCTGTTTCACTGGTACGGAGAACTAACAATTGGAATATCCTCCACAGGATCTATGATGACTGGTCAAGAAGACCAGTTAATGTGTCAGTCACTACTAAACAGGCCACCAAGATGTAGCTGTGGTCCTGTTTTCACAGCCATTATCACTAGCAAGTTAAGCAGAACTGTGAATGGGTAAGTGTCGCTGCCAATGATAATAGTGATAATGTAACTAACCTCTTGTGGGACATTTACTCTGTCACCTTCGTTGCTTGCCATCTTTAGAGTTTGTAAAAAAAGAGCACAGAAAAGTGATTTGCTGAGTTGGATTCCTTACGGAGATCAATTGAAACGTATGGATCAATATGTTTAGATTTAAGATTTTTTTTTGAGTACTTTGAGCAACCCACTCCACTCTAAAGTGCATGTGGCTCCACTCTGGATTTTCTCCAGCTTGAATAGTAGTGATTACCATTTCTTGAATTAATACGGTTGTTAATTTGATCGGTTACGGTGAATTTAAAGCCTAAAGAGGATAACTCAATCCCATAAATCGATTCTTTGAATTTTTGTCCTTTTTTCAGCAACTTGATGCAACACCACATATGAGTGTAAATGCTTCCATTTAAGTTTTTTTCTCACATTTATTACAGTAATCGTTAAATACAGTCACCAATTTTGCCTGAAATCACAAAATGTAAGTGTTGCTAGACTAAGAACGAGTTTAAGTGAGACAAAAAAAAACCAAAGCAAATAGAGGAGTAGTAGATCATTGGATTAACAAGTGGATTATAGATTATTCGACAATATTCACTGAGCCTAAGGCGAATTTTTGTTTTCAGTATAACCGCTTAGATGCTTTTGAATTGTGTTGTAAATATTTGTTTTCAGATGCTGAAGCCATTCTGTTTCAATTTTTTCGATTACTCGTAGCGAGATATAGAGCCAGTTTCCACAAGAATTTAACAGATTCATCTAATTCAATCAGCAAAAACGTCATGTAATTATTTTGAAATTGTTAGCCCAAATCTCTTGCACTCTTCGGAATTGAACTTTCTTTATCACGTTCATTAGTTACTCGGTAACACTGACAATACGCGAGGCATCCATTTTGAAATTCTGCGCTCCTGCTAGCATCACCTCGCGCGATATGATATGACACGACCCTTGGTCAATCAGAGCCTGTGCATCTATATAATCACCGGAGCGATACGCCACTAGGACGTATAACTAATAATACCTTGAAGATAGCACTTTTTGTAGTTTGGATCATTGCCCTCTTGTGCCGGGTTTACAGTGTGTTTAAGTGGATTTATTACTGCTTCCACAGATGGCAGGCCTTGCCTCTTTTTCATGTGTCGTTTTCGTTGTCTTCACTATTCTGATTTTGTATCATGAAACGCGTCGACACCAAAGGAAGATAACAGTGGAGCAACTTCCCTGAGAGAAATTAAATATAAATATTAACCAAAAAGAACACGTCGCTTAAGACAACTGTGTTTGTGGTTGGTATTTTTTTTTATCTGCCTTCTCCCACGTGGGTTCTGTCTGATCGTTTTAGCTACAGGCCTTTCTAATATTTGTCCCATCAACGAAGTATTGACGCAAACATTTGCCATGTTAAACCGCTTTTTGATTCAGTGGCATGGGGAAATTTCCTGATCCTCACTGTATATGTGCAGAAGTTGGCAATTCTCTAAGCATGAGAGATGTTTATTTCTTGCAGAGACTGATGAACTGATTTTCAATGTCTTATTTAGCATATTTTTCCTCTCATTCCAATTTCTGACTTACCTTTTTTCGGAAAAATAATCAGAATACGGATCTTAAAGGCGAACTTAATGTCTTTGAAGAGTTACTACCTTGTTCAAGGGCTGCTATCACGTTCATGAAAAGTGTCATTGGTAAATTGAAAAGAGGGCTGCTATCTTGTTCAAGGGCTGCTATCTTGTTCAAAGGCTACTATCTTGTTCAAGGGCTGTTATCACGTTCATAGAAAGTGTCATTAGGAAACTGAAAAGAGCATCGTTCGCTCTTTGAATAATTGAAGTAATCTCTTGACATAACTTTACCCTAATATTGATAACATTGCTAATTGATATATTGCTAATAGTTTCGCGGTAATGCATGATATAAATCAGTACGGCTGACATGGGGGTTTCGCCTCTGAGGTATTGAGGCGATGTTTAAATATACTTCTCAGGAATATAAAGAAAATTACGTGACTTCCCTGGTGACTTTAAGCTATAACTTCAATTTAAGACTTCAGAACTGAGTTTGGAAATCAACTCTCAGCCTACAGAGGTGTCGTGTCATAAGTGACTAATACGATTATAATATAGAGCAATGACTAAGGAGTTTGTTTATTGAGTGAGTTTAAAATGCGACAGAAAAGTTTACATTAACAAGTTTTTTTTTCTGGTTTTCTGCCATAATACCCTACTTCACTATTTTAAATACGAGCTTCCTCATTTGGTTTTGTCTCCAGCAGTAGATCAGTGGATTAACAAACGAGTTTAGTATGCTGCAAGTTTGCCAGATTGATTCATCGATTGGGCAAGTATCAAAAAGGCCTGTAGCTAAACCGATGAAACAGAAACCAGCTGGAAGAAGGCTCACAATAACAGCACTAACTACAAACACTGTTGTCTTAAGCGCCTTGTTCTCTTTGGTAGATCTTTCCACTTCTTCTTGGGGCAGTTGCTGTGTTTTTATCTTCCTTCGATGACGGCGGGTTTCATGATACAAAGTCACATATGCGAAGGCAACGAGCACGATACATGAAATTGAGATGAGGCTTTTGATATAATTCAAAGCTAGGTACATTTTTAACACACATAAAGTACCGCATACGAAACCAATGATCCAAATTGCTAACACCGCTATCTTCAGGTTGTTATGAGTTACAACGTTTGAATAGCGCATCGCATATTTGATCGCTATGAGCCTCTCGAAAGTAACCAACATCAGATGAAGGTATGAAGCAGACGAAAGTGTAGTCATAACACAGACACAAACATTTTCAAGTATTTCACTGCTACTGAGGCCAAATATTAGGAATATCCTCCACAACACATATAACGGTTGGCCAAAGAGACCAGTTAATGCGTCAGTCACCGCTAAACAGGCCAGTAAGATGTTGTTGTTAGTTCGGAGTCGTGGTCTTTTTTTGACGACTATAATTACCAGCACGTTAAGCAGAACTGTGAAAGGACAGGCGATGCTGTTAATGCTAATACTGATAATGTAATTAACATTCGGTGGGAATATTACAGTGTCGCCATCTATGCTGGTCATCGTTATAGCGTTCGCAAATGAAGCTCGAAGAATTTTGATGTGTTGAGTTGGATACGTTATTGATATCGACCACACAGTTTGTATCATTTCACTGGATTTTAAATGTTTTTCGGAGGCTTTGATCCACTAGCTCCATTTTAGTGTGCATGTGGTTTAACTTGATATTTTCTCACGTATTTCAATTTCTAATTGTATGACTAATTCAGTTTTAAGTTTCTTGTTTCAGACATGTATGCCCACAGCCGCTTGTTTATCGTGTTTTAAAGATTTACGACTTATTTTTATTTAAGTTTATAGACCAATTTCAGTTTCTCCATGGTTGAAATACAGAATGCATTCGGAAGGTCAGTTCCGAAGTCCGAATTCCAGTCTTCTAATTTCAAATTATTGAAAATTTAGCCGTTGTCGCACGAAGTATTTTGCTTTGCATCCCCATGCAATGTGTTACATTCATAGCTGTTGGAACTCCAACATCTGTTGGGAATGGCTATAAAACTAACATTAATGAGAGAGTTTCATGACATATCAACCCAACCAAAATCGAATGTAGTTCAATTCGTCACAAAACCCGACGCACGGATCTCCCATGTCTGCCGTATTATAATTGATGGTATGCATATCTGATAAACAATCATACACTTTCGAAAATGCTATCAGCAATATTTTAATTACGTTATCGTGGTAATATTGAAGGGGGAAATTATCTCGAGAGATTTTTTCCAAAGCGCAAATGCTTACGATGTACTTTCCCTATGACAAATGAAACTCTTTATGAAGCTAACAGCACTACTGATTAGGCATTCAACAATTTATGAGGCTCTCCTATAAACTCCTAACTCTGATTTTTGTATTTTTGATTATTCAAAATATTGATTCTGTTTAAGAAAATTATCAAATGTTAGCGGATACATTTGTAAATATAAAATGGGGCATCAGAAATTTTTTTATCAGTCTGAAAGCGTTTCTAAAACTAGCCAAAGAAAAATTCACCATGTCCAGTTGGTAGATTATAATAAGTCAACTAAGTCTTTGGGATGAACTCTTGACTTCTATTGCTGTTTTGTATCTGATCTATCGCTAAAATAAATGTGCAAATGTTTCCAACAGATTATTATTCTTGCACTAAAAGGGAAAAGGCAGCGAAAAGCTAAGCTTTGAAAAATTCACCATGTCGAGTTGGTAGATTATTGTAAGTCTACTAAGTCTGTGAGATGAACTCTTGACTTCTATTGCTGTTTTGTATCTGATCTATCGCTAAAATTAATGTTTTCAACAGATTATTATTATTATTCTTGCACGAGAAGGGAGAAGGCAGCGAAAAGCTAAGCTTTGAATAGTACAGGACAACACCACAAAAGAAGCTTACGTGGCAACTTTCTTCGCCGCCTTATCAAATGAATCTCCTTCAAGCTCGGCCCAGATATCATTCTTAATCCAAAATAATTAAAATCACTGCCGACTTTTTATTAATCACTAGGTCAAAAATGGTTTCAGCCTATTGAAGTGGTCTCTGTAACTTATAGTAGCCTACTCGTTTCTTCATATACCTTGTTATTTAGGAAATTGATTCGCCCTACACAACCATATAAATATTTATAGTTACATGGCTTCTTATCCTAATTAAAAAACTATATTAGAAGTAAAGTATTAGCTATTGGTTTATTTGACATCTTACTTTGGCTTTATGGGCTTAATTTAAAGTCAGTTATTTGCATTTAGGTTTTTCATTGTCAAGAATATTATTCCTTTTTAGGTTCGTCCACGAAGATTTTCATCAAAAAATACCAATTTATTCGACACCCGTCTCTTCTTCGATGTCATAGTTTTATACTTTGTATGAAGTTCATGAGCCAAACGCTTGTTTCTTCCACAATACAGGATAGGAGGTTAAAAAAAAAATGAAAATTAGAAGATATGTAGAGCGCGGTTGAGGACGGTAAATATTGCATCAAAAAATTGATACACTACCTTTTGCTGAGCCTGTTAGAAGTTTTTGTTTTTGTTTTTTATTATTATTATTTCAAAGATTGAAAACACATCAGGAAGTTCTCATCTGTCTTTTTAAACACATTATTATATATAGAGAAGAAATACAGTGTCAATCATGATCGCATAATTATCAGATCTGGTAACTCTTCATGTCGAGATAACTTTGTTATCACGTGCCCCTTGGCACAAGATGCCATTTCAAGCATACATGGCCAGAATTACTATGGCATTTTACATCACAGCGTTACTTTTTCTCAGCGATTGACTAAACTCAAAGCGTGCGCAAGATTTGAACGGAGCCGAAAAGTTCCCAGTGAATTTGGTTGATGACAGTTTTAGCATCTACAACCAGTTATTCTTGTTCAGTGGACGACTTCGCATAACAGCAACAAAGGAAGATAAAAGCACAGGAACCGATAAAAAAGAAGTGGAAAGATGAACCAAAGAAAACAGGGCGCTTAGGAAGTTTGTATCGAGAATGAGAACCAGGTCGTGCATCGACTAAAGGAGGGTAACTCCCCAAGTCAATTTGAAATTGGATAAGTTTAGCTACAGCCCCGAAAAACGTAATTGAACAACGTTAAATATTGACGGGAGTATGATGATGTCAATACAGGTCCTCCAGCATTGTCAATGCTTTATATGTTTGATGAAATCATAGGGAGATTTCAATTGAATTACCTAATTCCTATGTCGACCATAAGACAAGAACGAAACATTTCTTCGTATCTAAAACAAACATAAGAAAAACTCAATTGCAATCATTACTCCGTAGCTCTTTTTGCTAAAGGAAAAATAGGCTGTGGCAAATTACCAAAGATGTACCCTTCTTGCAAAGATTTTTTTCCGTGGGTTCAAATAGTCCTTTTAAGAATCAGATTTTGCGCGCAATGTACGAATCAACACTCCTAACAAAAAATATGTTGTCACATAAACCAACGACAAGGACCTTTTTTTTCAGTCTTTCTGCCATATTCTCCTTCTTTGCTGGATGGCTGGATGCACGAGCTGGGTTCTTCCTGTACAAGGTGTAAGAACGTGCTTTCTCATTTCTTTTTGCCTCCAGCGGTAGATCAATGGATTTACATACGAGTTTAGCATGCTAAATTAGTAACTGAGTTGGCCACCGAAAATAGTTCAAAAGCTGACTTTTTGGGCGTTAGCCCTTTGTCAGAGCTATTGGAGGAATTCGAGGTTGTGTGTGGGTGGCATGGTACAGACTTGCCACATTGGTCCGTTGATGGGGCAAAAGCTACAATGGCCTGTAGCTAAAGTGATGAGACACAAACAAACTTGAAGAAGGCAGACAATAACAGCACCAACTGCAAACACAGTTGTCATAATCGCCTCGTCTTCTTTGGTAAATCTTTCCACCTCCTCTTGGGGCAGTTGTTATACTTTTATCCTCCTTTGATGTCGACACGTTTAATGATATCAAATCACATATGCGATGGCAACGAAAACGATTCACAAAATAGCGACAAGGCTTGCTTTAGAATAAAATATTAGATACATCTCTAAGGCCTCAAACATTCTACACACGAAGGCAATGATCCAAACTGCAATCAGTGCTATCGTTATTTTCTTATCAGTGACACTGTTTGGGTAGTGCGACGTAATTTTGATGGCGATAAACCTCTCAAAAGTAACCAACATTGGATGAAGGCATGAAGCGTCCAAAGTAGAGAAATGAAATTCATGAAATTGAAATGCAAATTTTCAGCTGTTTCACTGGTACTGAGACCTAACAGTTGGAATATCCCCAAAAGGATGTATGATGGCTGGCCACGAAGACCAGTTAATGTGTCAGTCACCACTAAACAGGCCAGCAAGATGTATTTGTTGGTCTTGTTTTCACGGCCATTATCACCAGCACCTTAAGAAGAACTGTGAATGGGCAAGTGTTGCTGTCAATGATAATAGTGATAATGTAACTAACCTCTTGTGGGACATTTACTCTGTCACCTTCGTTGCTTACCATCTTTAGAGTTTTTAAAAGAAAAGCACAGAAACGTGATTTGCTGAGTTAGATTCCTTATAGAGATCAATTGAACCTTATGGATCAATATGTTTGGATTTAAGATTTTTTTTGAGTACTTTGATCAACTTGAGAATTTCTCCTGCATGAATTGTAGTAATTACCATTTCTTCAATTGATACGGTTGTTAATTTGATTGGTTAGGGTGAATTTAAAGCATAATGAGGATAACTCAATCTCATATATCGATTCTTCAAATTTTTGTCTTTTTTGAGCAACTCGATGACGGACTCTTCCATATGAACTCAGAGGTTCTCTATTGTGAGTTCGATGAAGGACTTAAACCACCCTCTTCATCCTCTTCTACCAACACGCCTAGACGATATCTGTCCCTACACCCTAAGGCGCAAATCAGGCCAGCTGTACTTTTACAAAAACGTTACTACTTGTAGAACGAAGCGCACCGAAGACCTTTTCACTTTTAATTATTTTTAGCAAATGTGATGCATGTCCTGGTGTGGTGCACATAATTGGTACTTAATATACACAGAAATGTACATAGTTGATTTTATTAACTTTTCATTGCATTATAACTCGTTAATTCATTAAGTTACTGCAAGAGAGTTTAATAAACTGTTATAATTATATAAAATATGGGCCAAGAGGTCATTCTAAGTTGATGCTGAAACTGCTTACTGTTTAATAACTAGATTTCCTCTGCCTTTTTCTCCCTTCGTTTTTAAATATAAGCACTTTTATTTTAGCGGTTGATCAAAGTCAAAATCAGTAGTAAATATTAGATAAAAATCAATGGGATCTCATTGACTTGTAATAAGCTTCCCACTCGACACGGAAAACTTCTCTTAGGCGAGGTTAACAAACGCTTCAAACATAACCAGTACAGAGGGCAACATAGCAAATAATCCTGTTCTGGTGAATTATGTCATTGGTACCATAATCTACACTGTCAGTTGTCCCTTTACAGCTCTACTCAACGTGCTGATGATAATGGCCGTAAAGAGAAGACCACGAC